CTTGTAAATGTAAACGGTTTCAAATGAAGTATGATCTTAATTAATGTATAGTATAGTATAGTATAGTATAAAGTTTTACGGCGCTCGCAACTGCCAAGGTCATATGAGCGCGCTTAATTAATGTTATCCGATACCAAGTGGAAGAAATAACTAGCCTCCTCAATTTGGTCAGTGATTTACGAATGAGTCAGGATTCAGCTTTTACAAGTAAGGTCATACCAAATTATACGTCTACCATTAAATTATATAAATATTATTACAGGTATGTAGTTAGAGGGAGGTATATTTGTTTGCATGCGTATATATGTGGATGGGGATTAGGGGTGGGGGTATCATCAATTTCCAAAATAATCTTTCTCTGTGGAGAGCGATGAAAGACAAAATGTAAAATTGGACACGCCTTAAACGTATCGAGGGAGTTACACATGTTTGAAATATCTGAAAAAGGACGTTTCGTTCCTAAAGATCAACTTTTAAAATCTATTTCTTCTCCATGTCAGACAGCAGATAACACATCGCGTCTTCGAAATGCGCTGGAGGTATATCTTAAAAGAAAAGGCTTCGAGATTTCTTACTTGACCAATTTTACTCTGGAATCGGTCCCTGTGACACAACATTATAACTTCAGTCTGTGGAAATCTGACGGAACGAATGCCATGGCGCCAGTGGACGGTGAAAAGAGTGCTGACTATCTGTCTGACATCGGAAGGCATTTCCTTAATGGGCTTTGTCACCATGGTCCAGCACTGGCAGCTTTTGGGTTACCTACTGTACACTGTTACAGGTACGTCCATGATAAAACATTCAAAGTATGTGTTAGTCACAAACACGCAGCCATGTAGCCGAACCTCTTGTCTAGGTTGTAACAGCAAAAAACAAAGAAGGAAGAAAAGTGTGTGTGTATTTATTTATTTATTTATTTATTTATTTATTTATTTATTTTAAGGGGGGGGGGGGGTCTTTTTGTTTAATCTGGCGACGATCCTTCTGTTTCTTCTGCGAATGAAGGCAAGTCAGAGGGAAATGCGATAATATCATAATTCTATTGTCATAGACTTCACAGCTTACTTTCCGTCCAGATTCATTTGTAATTTTCGTTGCTCTGATCTTACTGTGATCTCCATCATTGTTATAGAGTGGTAAAAATACTCGTGACTTGAAAATTTTTAATAAGATGCAGGACGATTCGCCAATTCTGGCTTCATCAGCAACATTATATCTGAGAAAAAAAGCGCCGTAGCTGCAAAGCGTTCATGATATAATGTCTCGTATATGTGCATTGTAGAAAATATCGGAAAGTGACTAAGATCGGAAAAAGAAAAGCTAACTCATTAATTGCGTTGGCTTTGCCAGACTCCTGGCTGAGCGTATAGATCATCATCATCATCATCATCATCATCATCATCATCATCATCATCATCATCATAATCATCATTGTATAAAGAAGGTATTAAAACAGTTAAGACCTTGTTGTATTTCCAGAAAATAATTTTTTTTTCACAGTTCAACGTTTCGCCAATAAGGCTTCATCAGGAACATAGTATTTGAGAAAAAAAATAATAAATGAGTGATGACGCCACAGCAACAAAGTGTTCACTATAAGTTACGTATTGTTGTGATTTGGACAATATCGGAAATATCTTCATCATCATCATCATATACACAGGCTATAAAAACTAAAGTGCGCACATAAATGTCTGAATATTTAAAGGAGCGGTGAGTACAAATCGCCGGAGAGAAGGGAACACTAAAGCCAGAAGTGGTAGAGAGAGGGGGGGGAGTGGAAAGGTGCGTGGAAGTAAGGAATATAATAACAGAAGGGTGCGGTGAACACAAATCGGAAAGCCCAGAGAAAGAGAAACAATAGGGCCAGAGGTGGCAGAGAGAGGGAAAGGAAAAGAGGGAGAGAGAGAGAGAGAGAGAGAGAGAGAGAGAGAGAGAGAGAGAGAGAGAGAACTAGTACGTGTAGGTAAGGAATATAACAGAAAGGCAGGGCCAAAGGGAGGGGGTTGCAGGAACATAAGGGGTGATTAGTACGTTACGTTGTAAATTTTAGGTCCTTAAAATGGGGTTCGTCGATGTTAAGGCCAGTGAGAATTTTGTGAGACCCCAAATTCCAAATCCACATTGATTCTCTTTGGTTAAGTTTTTCTTTAGTTGGATATTGGACTATTTCAATACCCTGAAGCTGCAAATCGGAGGTTCCATTGTGACCAGGACTGTTGAAATGTTGGCCGACTGGTGTGCTGGAGTTTTTCTGGACTGAATACCTATGGTTATTGAACCTAGCTCTTAGTGTGGTGGTAGTTTGACCTACATATTGAGCTGGACAGACTTTACAGGATACGAGGTAGATTACATTTTTGGTTTCACAAGTGATGCTGTGGGAAAGTTTTCTTTTAAAGTGGGGGCCTTCTACAAAGTTGGTTACTTTCATGTAGGCACATGTTTTGCATCTAGGTTTTTGACAAGAATAATTTTGAGGCGGGGAATATGGGTTTACCGGAAGTGAGGACGTAGGTGTTACTGCTCTTGTGCGAATGAGGAGGTTGCCAAGATTAGGAGGCTGACGAAGTGCAGTCAGAGGAGGGTCGGGGAAGCAGGCTTTCATTTTGTCTGATTTTTCCAAGATGCACTTGTGTTGGCTGTGGATTTTATGTACCTTAGGTAGTTTTTGGTGATGAGTAGTGACGAAAAATGGTCTTTTCTGTTTTGGCTTTAGGGGTTTGTAGGTCAGGAGGCTTGTGCAGTTCAATTTGCTGACTTTCTCGATAATGGGCGTTATAAAAAAAATTCGGTACCCACTGTGAAGAAGGTTGACTGTGAATTCCTCTATCCGTTGTTTAAAAGAATTTTCACGGGAACAAATGCGGCGTAGTCTAAGGGCACCACTATAGACCACAGAACGGAATATATGTTTAGGATGGTTTGAAGAAGGTGGGAGGTAACGATTAGAGTCGGTAGGTTTTTTGTACAGGTCTGTCTCAATTTGGTTATCTGCAATGAGAAGGGACATGTCCAGGAAAGAAGTGGACTTATCTGGCCTGGAATAAGTAAATTTGATGTAGTGGTGCACCTTGTTCAGATCAGTGAGAAATTGTTGGGTTGTTTCAAAGCAACCATCATCATCATCATCATCATCATCGTTGTCGTCGTCGTCGTCATCGTCGTTGTTGTTGTCGCCATTGTTATTGTCATCATAGCTATCATATTTGTGATTACCCTGAAACATTATAACCTGTTAAAACCCAGGCTTAGTCGTTTTAAAGCGTGCCCAAGCTATTTCAACTACGGGTGGAACGACAAAACCAAGTGCGTCCGTTTGAGAGGAAAGGAAGACAACACCATGTGTGAATACCGACTGGCGTCTCCTCAGGCTAACCCCTATCTCGTCTTCCCTTCCATTGTGGCCGCTGGAATAGATGGAATCATAAGAAAAGTACAATGATTTGTTTATTTTTTTGGTTTTCTAGTGTGTCTGTTTGAGGGAAAGAGGGGGAAAACAAAAAGTACATTTGGTGAAAGGTCCAGCCAAAAAATAAATAAATCCGGTCAAAATTGCTAACATAATTGACACGGCGTTAGAAAAGAGGAAGACATTCAAACTAATGTGAACATCGCTTGGTTCCAAAAGTGTTTGGTGTACATAAAAACTATTCAACAATAACTAAGTTGAAGAACGTGTATTTTTCAAATAATGTCATAAAACGATCCATACAAACGTCTGCTGCCTGCCATACAGAATATCCCCAGCAACTACCCAATAGGAACGTAGGTATTGAGTAATGGTTTTGCCTTCAATACTAAAAGAGCTTTGAGAAAATGTGTTTATCTTTGTTACTTTTCCTTCTGTATGGCGTCTTTGTTTTTCTTTTTTAGTTCAGTTTTTTTTAGAAAACTATTTTAATTCTTGTATCTTTAACGAGAGAAGGGGGATATTCATGTGGTTTCAGAAAAGAGACAATAAGATGCGACTTTGTGTATTTGTTTAAAGTTTTGAAAAACAACGTTACAAAGTGATAACCGTCCTGCCATGGCACGAATTTTGAATGTAGGATGTAGCTTTGATGTCAACAAAACCATAACTCTTTCACTCCTTTAATGCTTTTTGTCAGTGTCTTACATTACCTATCTTACGTATCTTGCCTTCTAACATCGTAATATTATGCTACATGTAGATCGAGACGTCTGTTTTAAGCTTGGTTTGTTGATTAAGACGTGTACTTTTTTGTCTTTTAGCTTGACTAATTAATTAATTCATTGCATCGTAATCAATTTGGAAAATAGCATCGTGCACTCGGAGAGACTATAAAGTGAATTAGTTGCCATCAGTTAGACCTATTTTCCTCTCTGGATTTTTTCTGAGGGATCAGTCAATTCTAATTTCTTTTTCTTTTAAACCTTCCACCCCCCCCCCCCCCTTGTAAAAGCTTGAGATGCCAGACCCCGTTCTCCCTGTGCCCGGTGACCTCCCTTCCGCTCTCAGTGCCCTGAAGAAGGACAGCGTGATCATGGAGGCCATGGGGGAAGAACTCGTCAATGCCTTCGTCTACATCAAGACAACCCACGAGATAGAGCCCCTGATGGCGGGGGAGACGGCAAGCGACGAAGAGATGCTCAAGAGAGAGATGGAGTTCTACTGAATACAGACAGTTCTTACCACAAGCCAAAACTCATTAAGGGACAAACTGTTGGTCTAATACTGGTGCCCTTAGCATGATCGGGTCGGGTCCGGTCGGTTTTCTATCCTGATTGGGGGCGCAAAGCAGGTGCCGGGGCACAAACCGATTGCCCAACTTGTCGCCTCAAAAACAAAGACGTTTGTTGTCTGGCAACGAGTCGGGCAATCGACCCGACCCGACCCGATCCGACCCGATCCAATCCCATCGGCAATGGACACCCGCTATAAGGTAGCAACGATTTGTAGATAAGGAAGAAACTGAGCCCAAAGTAAAATTATGCAGGGCAAAGGACTCTGACTGAAGCAGACATGGTCACTAGGTGTGACCTCTGGCTAAGTCAAATGAAAAAGTGCATTGAGATAAACGGTTATTATCTTGAATAGAAAACATGTTTCTGTTGGTATTTCCATTATTACATGTCTGTAAAACAAAAAATTTTCATTTTATAGAACAGGGAAACTTATTTCTGGGGACAGACCTCGTAGATGTTTTTTAGGCCCTATCAACACAGTTTAGATCATTTAGGACGCGGTCTTCGACCCTGCCTGTCAGAGTCAACTCGGGCTAAGAAGAATACCCCGTCCCAACACAAAAACCTGACACACTGGAAAAAGTTGTTCTCACACGGATATGGAACTAACTTTTAGGACCGCTACTTTGCAGACGCCGATCCGGTGGCGTTAAATTGAGGAAGAGTGAATTTACTGTTGAAGGAGATACATGGCTGTAAATATTAAAGTGCAAGCTAAATTAGCTTTGTATCGGGGGAGGGGGGGGGGACTTTTTCTTTGTCCAAAAATGTGGCTTTTTGTTTGCCTTATAAAACCCTTGGAAGAATGAAGTATCCAAAATCTCAACGTACGTATTTTAAAAGGTCGGCTGAAATTAATACTCCAGTATTCGATCAATGGTCCACGATGAAAAACGCTGTGCAACGAATGTTGTCAATTCTTATGGAAATTAATGTGCTGATACCAAATACACTGTTAATTTCCGTCGATCAAGCCACGTTTGTATTGTTGTTGTTTTTTTAGGGGGGGTTGTTTTGTTTAGTTCGGTGGGGGGGGGGGGGGGCAGAATTCACATATTTATATAATTTTAGATATTCTTGATGCTTTAATAGGGGGTAAAAATACAATTCGCTATAAAACAAGGGAAATAACTTGTATTATTTCAAAGAAGGAAATTAACCAAGTTTATTATATTCGCATAGTGTCCTGCATCACATTTCTTCATCACATACTGTTTTATGGTTTAAAATCCTTTCATTTCTATTGTTTGTCATTAATTTAAAAATGCTGCAAAAATAATGTAAGCTTGAATTCCAAAGACAACGCAAACAATCTTAGCTGTCTCTTTCGTAATTGTCTCCTAAAGGTGCAAAGAAACATCAAAGAATGAGAACAGGGGAGGGTGGAGTTGGGGGATCGAGTCAAAAGGCTCTTATTATTTTTATTTACTAGTTCTCTGTTACCTTTCAATTTAGAAGGCTCAAATTTCAGTGAAAGTCGAAGACTGACTGGTTTGACAAAGAAACCAAAGTGAGACAAGGAACCAGATCGAGATGTTACACAAATATAGATTTCCCACATAAAGAACATAATAAACTAAACTCCTTACTCCAGAGCGGCAGTATTGAGTTGTCAATGAAAACAAATCCTGAATTCATGTTGCATGTTCAACCGCCAAAATAATCGGGAAAATATCTTTTAAAATAGTTATGTCCACTAACACTAAATTTAACTAAAGATGTGTATAGACAAACAAAAAGCAAAGAAACATTAAATAAAATGCCTCAAAACGGCCACCACTTTTGGCGACAGCCACAACGAAAGTGCAAACATCCATGCGGTACCCAGTGATACTGGTGAGGCAGATCACGAGTCTGTGGACAATGACAGACAGGAAGGTGACACGGACAATGAGGTCACTGAGCACAATTCAACAAGCGGTAGTGTCAGTGGCACATTGTCGGAAGAAGAAGATGAAAGCCAGACCGAGAGGCAGGTAAGCAGAAAAAGAAAAAGTAAAAATGAAAAGAGAAAGAACAGGGGAAAAAATCATTTGACTAAAGAGGGCAAATCCCAGAGAGAGGAGATGAAAGCTTCTCAGGTAAATACAGGAGGTTTGAAAGAGAAGGATCGAACCGAGGCAGAAAGTACGTGGGTAGAAAATGAGAGTGAGAGAGCAGACGAAAGAGGACCAGGGAGAGGTAAAGGCAGAGTTGCAGCTTCTGCAGAGAGAGCAAAATGTTGCAAAATTTCCTAGAAAGGGCCATATCCCATAGTCAGAAACGGAGACGATCGACATCACCAATTCATGTTTTGGATCGGCCCCACAATCAGCGGGAGAAAACAGGTGTCCCTGGGTGCTCCAGGGTAGAGAACAACAAGTGAAAATAAAACTATAAAAATGTACTAGAGTGAAATAATTATACATCATTGCACTTTCAGGAAAATGGAAGGATTCGACAATATAGGAGAAATGTTAGGTTCGAACCTGAAACTGGTTACCCTGAATGATGGAGGATTAAAAAATAGGATGAAAAGGGGAGCAACATTTAAACAGCTTTGGAGGAAGAAGATACATATTGCTGCATTACAGGAAACGTATTTAAATTATAAAGATATGAGGAACGTGGAGAAAGAAATAGGGGGAATAATACTAATACATTATAGCTGTGCAGATGACAGGAGTAAAGGATTATTAATTTATTTTAATAAAAATCTCAAGAAGGAAAATATCGCCCTGCTGGTCAAGAGTGATAGAATTATAGTTTAAACTTTATTAATAGACGATGAGGTCATGTACATTATGAATGTATATGCACCATGCATCGAGACCGATAAGGTCCCATTCTTAAGAAAAATTCATGATATTGTTAATACTTACACTTACATACCTCTAAATTGCATTGATAGAATAGTATGTTTGGATGATATTAATATGGTAATGTGTAATACATTGGGTATCATTTCGGGTGGCCAACACCAAAAGACAAGTGCAGATATGTTCAGGTGAACGATGAACAGGCTGGGACTATGTGATGTCTGGCGAGTTCATCATCCAACATTATTTTCCGTTATAATTAATTCCCAAATAAAAAGCCTGGGACTATCAGATCAACGGGGCCGTGATGATAGAATGAAGCTTTGTCAAAGAAAAGAGGGGTCCAAGGGTCTATAAATTGAATACCTCTTTATTCTACGACAAAATTTACTTAGAAATTTTAAAGACTATGGAAAAATATAAATGTCTGAACCCCCATCTTCGATGGGAGATGATTAAAATTACTGTAAAAGAAGTAAGCCAACCGCATTCAAGGTTTAAACACCGGACGAGAAAAACTTACTTTAAAAAGAGTACAGAAGCTCTGAACCAGCTGCAGAAAGAGCTCTCCAGTAGACCTGACGATTTAGAATTAAACAGAAAGGTTGATATCATTAAGAAGGAATTAGAAATTCGTTTAATAGAAGAAACAAAGGGCGCGGGTATGAGGGCTGGGATTAAATAGATCGAAAACGGGGAAAAGGGAAACAAGTTTTTCTTAGGGTTGGAACGATGCAGAGCAAAAAGTAGTACAATTTATAAACTCCATAGCAGTACAAACAGTAGCATAATATCCTCGATCGAAGAAATTTTAGAAGAAGTATATTATTTGTTTTATGAACGCCTATATCGGGAAAATAAAAATGAAGAGCAATCGTTTAATTAACAATACCAGTTTATGCAAAACCTTGATATCCTCGGGTTGACTATGGAAGAAAAAGACTTCCTTGACAGCCCCATCAGCAGAGACGAAGTTCTTACAGCACTCAAAAAAAAAAGAAAAATGGATCCTCCCCTGGACTTGATGGAATCTCCGCGGAATTTTACAAGGTCCTCTGGGCACAAGTTCAGCAACCTCTTTTGGACTGTTACTTATATAGTCAAGAAGTTGGTTGCCTCAGCATCTCTCAGTAGAAGGGGATGATCACTTTACTCCACAAAGGGAAGGGACTCTGCAGGGAGGAGCTAAAAAACTGGAGAATTATTACGGTTACGAATGCAGATTATAAAATATTAGCTAAACTACTAGCAATTAGGTTACAGAAGGTCATTCAAAGTGTAATACACCCAAATCAGTATGGATTCATGAAAAGTTGAAATATTGCCAGTCTGTTAAGAAAATTAGATGATTTAATTGAATACCAAAAAATAAGCAAAATCTGAGCATATTGTCCAGATTATGAAAAGGCATTTGATACTATTTCTAAAAGTACGTTTGTGAATATGTGCGAGGTATTCGGATTTGGTGATGTCTTTATGCAATGGATTGAAACACTTATGAGCAATAGAATGGCATGTGAAAAAAACAACAGACTTATATCAACTGAATTTGAAATACAAAGGGGAATCCGTCAAGGATGCCCCCTCTCACCTTTAATATTTATCCTTACAGTAGAATGCAAGGGAGTTAAAATGCTCAATTCACCATATTGTACTAAGATCAGACAGTATGCTGACGACACAACATTTTTACTGCGAAATATTATTGATTTTAGAGAAGTACTGTCAAAAAATAAACACTTTTCAAAGTTTTCGGGATTGTTCTTAAACAAAAATAAATCTAGAGTATTCTGGCCAGGGAATCACGATTACTATGGTGATCAATATCATAGCATAAAGTTCTCTTCAAGATTGTTTGTCCTAGGTACACATTTCAGAAGTGACATGGTAGCCTGCGATGTCGACGACAACTGGGAATCTAAAATCCAATCACTGAAAAACATTCTTGGAATGTGGGCTAAAAGAGACCTGTCCATCCTAGGTGAGATCTTAATCATAAAAACGTTTAGCCTTATTTTCTTCATTTACCTTATGCAGAGTATTGGCATGCCGGAAGGAGTTATTCGACGCGTAAACGCTTTATTCTTAAAATGTATTTGCAAAAAGAAATTCACAAATACTCGAGGATTTGAAAAGGTGAAACGTAAAATAATGTTTAATAACCCTGAGAAAGGGGGAATTAAAATGTGTAATCTGTTAGACACTCAGTACACTTTCTACCTTCAATGGGTGGGATATTGTTAAATAGTGAAAAGGAGGGAGCTAGATGAGTGGGTTAAATTACCTTTGCACAGTCTGCAAAAGGTTGGTGGAAAAGCATGTTTTGAATGTAATGTTCCAGCAAAAGCTTTCAAAGGATTGGATACGATCTACAATACTTTTTGGAACAGAGTGGTCAACGTTTGGTTAACATTGAACTCCCGCGTAGAAAACAGGCAGCAATCAATTTTAAATCAGATTTTATACAACAACAAATATAACATATAAGCGAACTCATTTATGGTTGCCAGAGTGCATCATTCATGGTATAATCCATGTCCATGATGTCTGCTTGGGAAAAAGGTTGATGTCATTTCAAGAGTTTTTAGAAATTTACATAACTCTTCTAAATAAATGCATGATGTATAACGCCATAACCCCTTTGCACTTAGAGCTGGCTGGAAATTGCATGTGAAGAGGACGTAAATATGTCTTTCAGAGGTCAACGAGTTGGGGAGATTAGGAGTAAGGGTTTCTTAAGTTAATTCAAAAAAAGTGTGAGGAACCGTATATTGTAAATATGTGGAAGAGGAAATTGGGGGTACACATAACAGAAAAGCATTGGCTAATCAGTTATGCATCAACAAAAGAAGTAAGGCTTAGAGTGTCACAAGGGAAAATTTTGCTTAACATTTATCGAACAAATATTCTGCAGCACAGAATGGGGGTAAAGGATTCTAATAATTGTGCAACATGCTCAACAGGAGACAATAATATAGAATATTAATCATTCATGGCTGAATGTGGAACAGCGAAACCTTTACGGAAAAAGGTAGAAAACCAGATAGCCATACACTGGTATACGTATACATCTAAATACCTGTCATATCCTATTTGGATTGACCGATAATAAAAACATCACTAGAGACAACATACAACAAGCAAACTTGGTTATTCTTATAGGGAAAATGGTAAT